CCCCAAAACCCCAAAACCCCAAAACCCCTACAATTTAAAGAAATTTGTGCCAACTAAATTTAATATAAATTTAAATCTTTAAAATGGAAGCAAAATCTTCAGCTTTTTCAGAAATCTCTCAAATTAAAGAAGGATGAAACAAGAAGGAATACTGGTTATTTTCAAAGATAAATTATATACTTCAAGAAGAGTTTAAGTTTGGGGAAAGAGACTCAAAGCAAAACAGACTTATAGATTTTGCCAGACTTGAAGGTTTCATGAAGAAAGCTTCGAAATTTCCTATTTTCTGCTCATTCGTGCACTGGGACTATATTATTTTTCTTAATGAAGGTACTTATTATAAATAAGCAAGCTAACAAATTCTTTCAGAAGAAGTTCTTACGATTTAACTCTTTGGTGATTGCTTATTCAAATCTTCCCTCTCAAAAATGCCTAAGACAATGCTTGCCTGGCAAACTTTGTGATTTGGCAAGGAACATTAGTCTTATCACTGAGAAAGTTGTTTTGGAGGGTCTTGTGATACATGAGAAAGAATTTCGATCCCTCTTGATTGCAAGCTGAAATTTGAAGGAGTTTAGATTTGAATTCTGAACAATTCTGAATAAAAACAAGAGAATTTCTGAAAACCCTAAAACTAAGGTTAAGACTATCTTATTCTACAAGACCAAAGTACTTAATCTCCTGAACAATCATACAGAAAACCCAACAGGAGTAAATATTTCTTCACAAAGCTCTATATCTTACTCAGCTGAACCCTTGTTGGGCAATCTAAAAAATTTTCGGCAGGTTCTGAATACCATAAAATCTTGAGTTGATGCTAGCTTTTTGAAAAAAATTGAATTTAAACGCTGTAATGTAAATCCTATCCATCTTGAGCAATGGAAGGGAGCTCATCCAGAGCTGAGAACTGTTAATGTTACCACAAGTTAGTCAGAAAAATAGCTGGCCTTGATCATTTCAATGAATTTAGTATATTTCCTGAATTGGAATGTTAATTTCAATCCATTCTAATTTGATAGGGGTTTTGGGGTTTTGGGGTTTTGGGGTTTTGGGGTTTTGGGG